CAAGCTAGTAGATTTGATCTTGTGGGTAATCTTCGATTCTTACCTTTTCGGTTGGAAATTCTTAGAGGAACCTTGTGGATTGTGTAAAAGACGAAGCCTTTAGAGATCAATACGAGTCTGTGTGTTCGAATTTCTTGTTCATATGAAAAAAAACTCGTGTCTTTGGGTTTCAGTCTCTATATCGACCTTGTGCTCTTATGATTTTTTGTTCTCAAGCTAGAAAATTTGATTTTGGTGGGTACATGTTTGATTCTTAGCTTTTCGGTTGGAAAATCTTAAAGGAACCTTGTAGATTGTGTAAAAAGACATGACCTTTAGAGATGGATACGAGTCTGTTTCTCGAATTTCTTGTTCATCTGTAACTCAATGGTGTCTCAGATGTGTATTATTTAGTCTATAACTGTTAAAAATGATGTTTTTCCTTCTTCTTCTTTAGATTTCAAATGGAGTGGTCGTATGAAGAGGGCGAGATTCTACCTAATGATGTCGATGAATACTATTTCGTTGATCAAACCGATACGCCTATCAGGTTTTCTCTTCTGCCGTTGAAATGGGACAACGAAGATTCAGGCAGTAGCTCGGGAATGCAAGTATTTCTGCGTGGCAACAACGAGTCGCTTTGTAAGCTTGCCAAAGCGTGGAGGTTTGATCTATCTGATGAACAGCTAAAGATTGACGTTCTTCTACAAGGGATGCACTGGATAACTCTACAAAAACCAAGAAAGAGTTATGAAGCTTTGATTAGAACAACTCTAGGTACCCTTCAATGTCTTCACTTTGTCAAAAGGAATTCAGAAGCATCAAGCAATGATGTGTGGAACAGTTTACACGAAGTGGATGGGTATGTTTTAGATCTTTATTCGGTTGAATCTCGATGCGTGTTTTGCTTTATGTTATCTTTTGAATCAATCTTGTTTTTTTTTCACTCAGGATCCAACCTTCAGAGCATGATTTATCAGATCATGTTTCTTTACTGTGTGAAGCTATGAAAAGGGATGATGATTTAACAAAATCAAAGGTCTGTTTTTTTCTCTTTGGTCTTTCTTATCTTTGTTGATTGACTTAGTTATTTCGTCAAAGTTACAACATTTTCTTGTGTGCTTGGTTTCTGAGGAGAGCATTGCCTAAAGAATAATTTGCATCTGTGCATTTCTTTTGGATATTAATTGCTTCTCCCTGACCATTTGTTGTGCAGTGGTTGCGTACTTTTCTGGAGAAAACGTCACAAGCATCACCTATCGAAGCGGTGAGACCTAATTAGAAGTGGCTTCCTGGTTCTCTGTCGCCTATCTTACTCTCTTTATACTGAGGTTAAATCTTGTTTTCTCTCATTATATTAAGGAACCTCCAATGCACGACCAACAAGATGCTCAGATACAAAAGGAACAGAATTTCATTGTTGAAAATTGCACAGACGCGGAAAGCAGCAGCGATGATGATTCTGAGACAAACCTGCAGTTTGATCCAGTCTGTTCTATTTGTGACAATGGTGGTTATGTTCTGTGGTATGTCAAGCTTCATAGTTTTTTGAAGAGTTGATGCTATTTCTAGAGCTCCTTACAAGCTGCAACGATTTCATTTAAACTCTCTCTTTTGAACTCAGTTGTGAAGGAAGCTGCTTGAGATCTTTCCATCCAACCATAGAGGCTGGAAGTGATACAGATTGCGAATCGCTAGGATTCACTGATGACAAACAAGTTCAGGTACTGTGAATCAGCTTTAGAGTTTCTGTTTAGTATGCTATTATGTTGAGGCTTCATGCTGAAGTTGGTTTGCTATATATGTAGGCACTCGGGACCTATTTGTGCAACAACTGTCTCTACCAACAGCACCAGTGCCATGCTTGTGGCCAATTGGGATCCTCTGATGAAAACTCCTCTCAAGAGGTATTGTATATCTTTGCACCATTTCATTCGTCATGTGGATACTGGGCTAATTTAGCTGTATTATACTTGAAATCTTCAATTTGTTTATTTCTCTGAAGGTCTTCCCTTGTTCTGCGTCAAACTGCGGTCATTTCTATCATCCAAGATGTGTTGCAAAACTTCTCTCTGCTGGTGATCAAATCAAATCAGAAGAACTTCAAGTGAAGATTGCTGCTAGAGAGTCTTTTTGCTGTCCTCTACACATATGTAAAGTCTGCAGCTTAAGTGAAAACAAGAATCTTTATGCGATGCATTTTGCTGTATGCAGACGCTGCCCAACGGCTTATCACAGAAAATGTTTACCTCGGTAAACCATTTTTCATTTTACTTTCTCCTCAAGCTTCTAATGGCCATATCTATCAGCTTCATA